CCAGACATCGACGACAGCGACACGAGGCGCACGATGAGATGCACCAGATACGCGTTCGTACATCTAATTGCGAGAGTCTGCGCGTCGTTGGGCGCATTGACGAACTTCTTCGATTTTCTCGCGCCGCAGGTATTCACATTCTGATGCTGGAGGGCACTTCGGTGGACGTCGACATAGACTGGAACTCTCACGATTACCGTGTTGTGCCTTCCCACTTTCCACTCCACATACCCGGGATGGACTGATGATGTGCGTGGGCCTCGATATGTTTGGTATGCCCCCATTGGTTTGCAAGCGCGCATGGATGCCAGGCAAGTTGGGTGGCGTCCGTATTCGTTGTGGGCGAGGGCGCTACGAGCGCGACCTCTATTTTTTGTCTGGCAACGCTCCCTTTTCAGTGCAGCCCAGCCAATCAGAACCTCAGGGCGACCAAACGCAGCTTTGGCAGAGCAGGAGTACCGCATTGAGCAGCCTTACGCAGCATACTAGAGCTACTCTTATCCTGGGTATTGACAACAATGGTGACCTGAAGTGCGAACCTCCCTACATTTGTTTTGGTGGACAGCGTCCTAGCACTCCGAACTTGAATGTTAACAGTTTCGAACTCACGTCTGTCCATCGCGACTTCAATCTAAGGGCCCTCAACACGTTCAATTCGAAGCGTCATGCCCACTGGACTTGGATGCATCCGAATGGACACCATTGTCGAACGAGTTTTCTGATATGCCGTCCCTCCCGCTGGCCAGGCGTGCCTGCGGGGGTGGGCTACTCTTCTCCTGTTAGCTTGGGTTGATGCCGCAGCCACCGACCTGTTGATGGCCTCTTCCGCATGCCACCGTGGAGGGCGACACGTGTGCCCAGGTCTGTTCCTCGTTGGAACCGACCTCTACTGGGAGAAGCGGTCAAGGTTGCCAGGGGGTTGGATGAGGACGAGGAGGGTCTTTCCCTTTCGGAGGTTGCCCAGAAGGTTCTTGCCCTGCGAGCCGACGTTGTCGAACGCGCTGCCTCGTTTCCTCATCAAGGTGAACCTACTGCCTAGTATGACTTCCTGGAGGATGCGCGTGTGAGCGCGGCCATGGCCGCTGGGTTTCTACAGCGCCCTGGGAGGAAAAAAAACCGTCGGCTGAATTTGTTGCGCGGGAAAACCTCGAAGCTGATTGCCGAGAAGCATAGATGGATGAAGTTGCTTGCCGATGGAGAGTTCGTGCACGCACTTTTTTATTCAGCTCGACGGTTCTACGTCATGCATCAGCATAGGATTGCCACGAGGTAAGCCATGGCCGCGATTCGCGCCGATATGAACGATCATGCTGGATCACTTGCAAAGGAAGCTGAGAGTTGCTTTGGATGTGGCGATTCCCGTGGGGCTTACAAAATAGTCAATGCACTGGCACCGAAGACCTCCTCGTCCGCGGCTACGCTTAAGCTGCATGGTCAATACTGTTGGAGATCGCAGGATGAATTCGAGGCCAAGGCCCTTGCTATGAAAGGGATCTCTACTGCGTGTTATTTACCGCTCCACGACGTCGTCCCCCGTCAGCGTTCGCTTCCCCAGTCTCCGCCCAACGCGCCTGCGCCTTGTGCGATCGCGGAATCTATGGCCGCGGACATGATCTCCACGACGCCGAACTTCAAGGCTGGTCTTGCCATTGTGGCGCCTTCCCAGGCCAACCTGTTCAGGGGAGCGGTGGCCGAACTCTACAAGTTAGCCCGCGCTGAGATTGCTCCTTCGCTGGCCTTTGCCAGCGCCCGCTCGATTTCCGTCGGCCAGGCCCCGTTGTCCTTCAACGACGGGGAGGCCGTGTACCTACGCAAGCCCGGCAAAGGTGATGGCTCAGATGATGGCGAACATCATCGTACATGGAGTATGATCAGTCACTGGGGAAAGACGTTGATGAAATAGTTCTCAGGCGATTCAAAGGTTGCGATCGCCTTGCACACCAGTCGTATACAGTTCGGTGGTCTTCCCCATCGAGGCACACGATATGTCATTGCGATTGTTGAGGAGATCACTGAGAGAGCTGCAGCCGTTGCGGCTAAGAACGCCAAGTGCAAGCGGCAAGACCAACCGCTATTCATTATGATTCAAGGCCTCTTCGACTTGTCCAAGGCCTTTGACGAGATCGACCGTTGTAAGCTCTGGGAGGCTATGCGTGATGTCTTTCTCCGTGAAGACCTTGTGCTGTTTCTAGAGGACATCCATGACGGAGCATGTATCTTGATCAAAGATGCGAAAACAGGCCGCGTAGTTCGTCGTTTGCGCAGCCAGCTTGGGGCGCGACAGGGTTCTTGCGAAGGCCCGTTGTTTCATTTTATTGCACGGTCTAACCATCCGCGCGATTCAGCGTGAGAGAGGCGGTCATTCTTTGACGGTGACGTTTGATACCACGCTCGAGAGTCTGTTGGGGTCGGATGCTATTTTCCCTGAACAACTGTCCCCGGGTGAGACGGTCTTTATGGGCGATCTTAGCGTAATGGAGTTGTTCACCGACGCTGGCGCGACCACCCCCTTCCTGACGAACATTGGTGCTATATTGGCGGAGTCTGGGTTCGGGGTGAATTTGCCCGAGCTTGAGGTGGCCATCGGAGCCTTTGGAGCGGAGTCTAGGGCCTTGAACAAGCAGATCCGCATGGGAAAATATCGTTTTGTTCTCCGTGGGCATTGCCCAGGTGCGCCAGAGGCCCCTATTAAGGCCAGCATTTCTGCTGAGCACCTGGGGTCCATGGTCAATGTCTTGGGTAGCGACCTGGTCGAGGTTCAGGCTCGCATCAAAAAGTCCCGAGTCGCCCACCATAGGCTCACAACCAGGCTTTGGCGCTCCACGGTTCCCCCCTCAAACTGAAGGCTCGTCTGCGGGTAGCTCTGGTTCGTTCCATCCTGCTGTGCGCCCTGGAGGTGCGCCGCATTAGTCCTGGATGCCTCAAGAAGCTCGAGCGTTTCCAGATACGCTGCCTACGGCATATTGCTAGATTACCAGTTCATAGATCTAGAGTTTCTTCTGATGACCTTCGCGAACAGTGTGGTGTGCATAGTGTTGAGTCTACCCTTCTTGTCCGACGGTGTTTGTGGATGCAGAAAGTTGTTGCTCCTGCTTTTCGCGAGGATGGCGACGATCCCCTCCTCGGCACACGTGACGATGATCCCACGGTTGCCGCGCGTGCTGCTGCCTTTGGGTTTTCTCGTTCGAGGGCGACAGCGAGGACTTTACCCCGCGACAGCTTCGACTTTTCCCCGGTCTTAAGCAGGTGCTCGAGGGTGCTCGTGAGGAAGCTCGCGCGCGAGCTCGCGCGCGTGGTGTTGAGGCTGAGCCTGCGTTCCTTTCTAAACCGTGGTTGGAGTGGCTTGCAACCGAGCCTCGGTCAAGTTTCTCTGCTCTCTTGTTCTTTCGTGCTCCTCCGACCGAGTATGCTGGCGTCGAGAAGATTATGTGTCCTCAATGCGGTCTTATGCGCGCATGCCCGCGTGGGTTACGTATACATCAAGCTAGAGTACATCAGGCGTTCGATGCCATCCTTAAAGGTGTTACTGAATGTCCGCACTGTCAGAGTACGTTCGCCAGACGCGACTCCCTTGTCAAGCATCTCCGTTTTCTCCGTTGCCCATTTTTCTCAGACGGCCCACCAGTGCCACCTCCTCCTGCGCCTGAGTTACCTGTGCCCGCCGACATCAATGTTCGGGTCTCCTGGCCGACCGACTCGGAAGGCGGGGGTCGACCCCTCAGGCCGCAAGCAGAAGGACGTGGAGAGGGGCGGGTGCATGGGCGTGGACGAGGTCGGGGGGGGCCTGGTCGAGGGCGAGGGCAGCAAGGACTGGGACCAGGGCGCGGTCGCGGCAGGCAAGCAGTGCTTGCAGGGGCCCCAGATGATGGAGGCGATGGCCACGTGGACCCTCCAGCTCGAAGTGATGCGCGCGATCCAGAGCATGGCCTTGGCCCCCGTGCCCGTGGGCCCGCCAGGGAACGCGTCTCTCAAGGTGATGGAGGGGGCCATCGAGCAGCACGACATGTCGGGCGCGGCGGTGCGCCTGGCCGCAAAGGACAAGGGAGAGGAGTTCAAGGGCAACAAGTTCTGCAAAACATCAGCGGCCCTGTCCTCGGGCATACTGTATCTGCTGGGGGGCCTTGCCGCGTTGACGGCGGCCCTCAACGCGACCTTGGCGCAGATCAAAGATTGGGCGCAGAAGAGGGCGATGGCGGGCTACGCGCCTGCAGTATCCACCAGCCTGCTGGAGCAGTTCGTCGCTGCAGGCAAGCTGGTACCCATGCTGCCCCAGAGGCTCAGGGCATCGAGATGCTTCAATATAGTGTACAACCGAAGTGTCGAGGACGAACTGGGCGACGTAGCCAGGACTCTGATGGATTTTCTCTATTCCGTCGTGCTGAGATGCTGGGACGCTCTGTTCGTAGGTCCGCGTGGCTCAGCGTTTTGCGGGTCGAGAATCGAGCTCGACTTCGACCATGGCCCTCGGAGCAAGGGAGCCATGTGTGTTGGTCTTTTCACGAATTAAGCTTGAGCGTGTGTGGCGTATTTTTGCCATCTCCCAGTTGCCTGTCTCGTGGGAGGTGGCGCCTGTATACTCGTGGCGAGTGGGGCCCGAGCGCGCCGCAGAGGCGGTGTGCTCGGCCTCGCTCTCGACTGCGCCGCGCGTCCGCAGTGCTGTGCTCGTCGAGGCAGGAGCCTGCCTTGATGATGGCTACGCCAAATACGCATAGGCCTCTTGGACGGGTGAGCGAGATGCAGTATATATATATACATATATATATATATATATATATATATATACATATACATATATATATATATATGTAGATATACACACATACCCGTAGCCATTTTGGCTCAAGCCATTTGGCTCAAGCCATTTGGCTCAAGGTGGCTCTCAGCGAGGGCCCCGCGAGCTAATTCTACGTCTACACTGCTCCCGAGAGTTCTGCACAGTGCCACCACCTGACCTCAGACTGATTGTGTTCTCGACTCAGCGGGCGCTGAGAGATGTCGCAATGGTCCTCCTGGTCGTCGCGTGGCTCTGGGCAGCAGCAGCATGCCGACTGGCGTCGGGGCCCGTCGGGGCACTGGCATTGGGTTGGCCAGTCCCCTGGGGCGAAGCGAGCCGCCAAGACGTGGACGTGCCGAGGGTGCTCCGCGATTTGCACTACCAAGAATGCGCGTGCGACGTGCGGGATGCGACGTACGTGCGCGGAGGTCACGGCGTCGCCTCCGGCTGGGGCGACGCAGCTGCAGCCCCCGCAGCCCCCTTCGAACAGCGCGGTGCGGGCGCAGCTCCAGGAGGCGGAGACCCTGCTCTCGACGGCCGCGGCGGAGGCGCCCCCTGTCGGGCCCCCTGCCGCCCCCCCTGTGGCGACGCCGCTCGACGCCGGGGTCAAGAACCTCAAGGACCTCAAGAAGCAGCTGAAGGATTCTACGGCGGTGCTGCCGTCGCTCCCGGAGTTCGAGCCCGCGCGCGCTGCCATGCAGGCGCAGCTTGACGGCGTGGTCGCCCGCGTCCGCGCCGCGGCCCCGCCTGGCGCGCGGCTCGACGGTGCCAGGGCCGCGCTGGATCGAGCCTTGGCGCGCCGTGCCGCGGCCGCCGAGGCGATGGCCAAGGCGCAGGCGGCCCGCGCGGCTGCCGAGGCCGAGCGCGTGCAGCTCGCCAGGGACGTCGAGGCCCTGAAGGCTGCCATGGCCCCGGCGGGCACGCTGGCGGCCGACCCGCCGTCGTCCCAGCTCCAGCGGCTCGGGGCGGCGGCCCAGGACATGCTGTCCGAGTTGGCGAGCGCGCAGGGCGCCGACCCGGCGCGCGTGAAGGTGGCGGAGACGCTCTCCCAGCAGCTGGCGCAGGGCTTCCAGGAGTCGCTGGCGCGGGCGAAGCTGGCCGCCCGCGACGCGGAGATGACCGCCCCGCGGAGGATGGTCGGCAAGCAGACGCCCCCCTCGAACGAGGAGCGGACCGCCGCTGTCGAGCTCGCTGTTCCCACGCGCCTGCGCGGGGAGCAGCCGAAGAAGGTGGCGTTGCAAGACTTCTGGCCGGGAGCACCCGTCAGAGTGCTCGAATCAGCGGTCGGAAAAAAAGTGTTTGGCGTAGCTCCTTCGCATGAGGGGGCAGCGGCTCTGGACGGCGACGTCGGCCTGGTGCTGGTCTCGGCGAACGTCCAGACTCTGAAGCCGCACCAGGAGGAGAGGAGCTATTCACGGAACAGCATCGACTCGCTCCTTGACAAGGTCGAGGCGCTGGAGGTGCAGTTCGACTCCCACGGGCGCGACATCGCGGGCGTCCAGGAGGGCCGTTCGAAGAGCGAGGGCGTCTTCAACGGCTTGCTCTACCGTAGGTATGCAGCGGCCGCCACCGACGATGGCGCCCTCGGCGTGCAGCTGTGGATTCATCGACGCGTCCGCGGCCATGTTCTACACTGGAGGGCCCTTACACCTCGACTGTTGTTCGGTGCCCTTCGGCTCAACAACGGCGCGGTGTTGGTGTTGACCGTCGCGCGCGCCCCGCGCCCCCTCGCCGGCGAGGCCACGCGCGGCGCCTTCTGGGATGAGCTGGCTAGCACCTCGCACGGGCTGAAGGAGCGCTACGCCCGAGCCTCCTTGCGCGTGGCCGTCGACGCCAGCGGACGCCTTGGCTCTGCGCTGTCCCGCCACATCGGCCACGAGGACGTCGCCCACGAGGATGAGAACGGAGCGCGCCTGCGCCTGCACTTCGACGAGATCGACCTGGCCGCCGTGAGCACCTTCTGGCCGAGTGGCCCGACATGGTGTTCGACGCGCGGCAAGTGGTACCGCGTTGACGACGTGCTCAGCGACTCGCCTGAGCTGGTCACTGCCTGCCGCGTGGACCTTGACGTGGACCTGACGTTCAACGCGTGCGAGGACCACCGCCCCGTCGTTAATCCAATAGCCCTTATAACTGCGACGAGGCGACGATCGAAAGCAGTGCCCCGGCACTGCTTTGAACGCGTTCAAAGCAGTGCCCCGGCACTGCTTTGAACGTATGATATGATGATATGATGATGATTATGATTGATGATGATGATGATTTTTCCAGCGTACACTGTCCGCAACTGCGGCAATCAACATCATGTTCCACTTGCCCGCAACTGCGGCCATCACCAACGCTGCCCCTCGAAGCTCCACGGAGAGCGCTCGGCAGGTCGCCCGCTCGAGCCCCACTCGACTTCACGCTGAGGAGGCGAGCCCTCAGGGGCATTGTCCGCAACTGCGGCATGATCAGAGGGCCACCACTGCGCGCCATCAGCGCCCCATTCGCTCGAGCTCCAGTCCCACCAGGACCAGCCCTGCCATCTCGTGGCGGGACTGCGCGCCTCCCATGCGCCGCTGCCGCTGGCGTCCCAGGACCCAGCCGCCACTGCGGCACAAGAAGGGGTCGCATCGTCGCCGTTGGCAGCTTGCGGCGGTGGCGTGTTCCCAGCTCGCTCAGCCCCAGCGTCTCTCCCCGCAACTGCGGTTCCCATCTGGGGTCGGACGCCCTTCCCCGCAACTGCGGTGTCCGCGTAGCTGCCCTTCTTGCCGCCCTTCTTGCCGCCCTTCCTGCCGCCCTTCCTGCGTTCCAACCTCGCGGCGAGTCTTTCAGGTGACCTGCGGCACGTATTGTGCGTGAAAGCCACCAGAGGGAAGTGCGCTCCGTGCCTCGCCCTGCCGAAGGCGCCATGCCATATCTTGTCGTCGAGGTTGCCCTGCTTCACTCTGAAGGGATGGCGCACCCAATCGTCGCGTTCCCTGCGCGCCATCCTTTGCTCGAACTCCGCAACTGCGGTCAAGGATTCGCCAGATGGCGTCAGGAAGGCGCGCATCTTGTTTTCAACGGGCTCAGCCTTGGGCACGTAAGTCTGAAGCATCTTCCCAGGGCCATTCGTGTAGTCGAAGACAGGGAAAGACGGATCATGCTGGGTCGTCAAGAATCCGCCCTCACGGTCGTGCAGAACACTCAGGCCATGGTGAAGCTTGTACTGCCCAGGACAGTTTATGAACAAAATCGCCATGCTGTCTGCCCTGGGCTGGCCGCCTGCTGTCTTCCAGGGGGTCCACGCGGCGACGTCCACAGTCAGGCCGCAATTGCGGCACCAGGACACAAGCTGGAACATGCACATGTTGAAGTCCCCCATGCAGACCTTCACGTCCCATTCCCTGACGTAGGCGACGAACCAGTTGTAGAACTCATGGAGCTTCGTGACGCCCCAGTCTTGGTTGGCCAAGCTGTGGTGGACGTGCACCGCCATGACGTTGAAGGAGCCCCCCAAATGGGTCACGGCCTGGTCCAGGTGGACGCGCACCACCATCGCCCTGGAGTACTTGTTGTGCAGCTTTGGCGCAGGAGCCTCCGCAACTGCGGACTGTTTCTTCTTCTTCTTCGTTTTGGACTTCTCCTGCTTGTGGAAGAGTCTCGCAAAGTCTACGTGTTCAATGTGGCCGCCACTGCGGTCCCTCATGCCAACAAGGAGGGTCCCTGATGGCTCGCCGCCCTTAACGCACAGGTAGTTGTATTGAGTCCGACTCCGAAACCTATCGTCCGCAACTGCGGCTGCACTGTCCCTCGCGTCGTGCTCCCCACTGAGTACCGCGCAGGTCTCGTCGTCGCACTCGCAGAGGGCGATGATCTGGGCAGGGTTCGCGCGGAGCTGCGCCCACTCGTCCGCGCGTTGCGTGGGTCTAGCTGCAGTCCCTCCGAAGTTGGCCACGTAGAAGCCGACCCGTCCCGCTTCGAACTCCGTTTTCTCCTCCCATGCGTCGACAAGAGCTCTTTGTTTTTCCGACAGATTGCTTGTCTCGATGATGGGCACCCGTTTCCAGGGTCTCCGCGACGACAACACTCTCGGCATGTAGGAGTCATGTGCTGCCGCAACTGCGGCTCCCGCACCTCCCTGGGACTCAGCCTCGTCAGCGGAGGCAGCCGAGGACGCGACGGTGCTGTCGCCATCTTGCGTCCGCTGGTCGTCGTCATCATCCGCAACTGCGGCTTCCTCGTCTTTGCCTCCCTCCTCCTCCTCAGCGTTGTGGATGAACACCGTTCTGGCGAATCGAGGTCCACGGTCCATACTCCCTGAGGATGCGCTCGGGCGCGCGGGCGGCCACATGCTTGCGTCTTCGCGTGCGCCACCTCGAGCCACGGTGGCTACGGAAATGGATCGTGAATGGGCATGGGGTCGGATGGAGGGAGGAGACAAAGAGGATTCGAGGAGTGGCAGAAGGAGGGCGAGGACTCAAAGGAACCGAAAGAACAACAAATGGACTGGCGGAGAAGCAGAAGGAGGGCGACGATTGCAAGGGACTGTGAAAGGATTATTTTCACAGCAGCAGGAAGACCGCAACTGCGGTTTTGCCTCATCTCCTGCCCGCGCGGGAGCCGCTTGGAAAAACAACTTCCCTCTGGACTTCCTGTGGGTCCGCAACTGCGGCCTGCATCACGCTAGGGCTGGGATTACCAGCGCCATTTGCCCTCCCAGGGTTCTCACTGTTTCCGAATGCACGAACTGCGACAGCGCCGAACGGTTCCCAGACGCCGCGTCGTTCGCGACTTTTTGCAGCCACCCAGCAAACGTGAGCGGCCATTGCTCCTTGTGCTGCTTGCACATCTCCTCGTCCCAATGCGTCTTGAACCATGCCCACTCCCCCCTCTGCTCGTCTGAGAGGACGCCTTTTCCGCGAGCCAGGCGATCCAGAGCTGCCATCCTGTTTTTCTTGATCTTGAACTCCTCGGGATTCCACTGCGCTAGGGCGTGTTTGTTAGCCAAAGCCGTTTCCACCGCAACTGCGGCCTCCTTCTTTGCCCTCAAGGCGGCCTCGGCCTCTCGAATCTGCTTCTTGAGATCGTGCAACGCCTTCGTCCTGTCGTTCGCTTCCAGAGCCAGGCGCCGCTTTTTCGCCACCACTGCGGCTTCGTGGTCTCGCTGGGCAGTCAACGCTCGTAGGACCTCGTTGTCCTCCCGCGCCAGCTCTCTCAACCGCTTCTTTTGTTTGTGTCGTTGCTGTCGGCAATCCTGCGCTAGTTTCTCCATGCCCACTTGGCGCAGCATATCTTCCGCCTCGCGGAGCGTTTCTGCCAAGGACGTCGCCACTGCCACCTGCTCGGCCGCCTCTGCGTCGACCACGCAGTCCATGGATACCGAGGATCCTTGAGGCCCAGGTGCCGCAACTGCGGCATCGCACTGTTCCGCAAGAGCCTCGGCCCACGAGGCCTCCTCTTGCTCTTCGTCCTCCTCGTGCTCCTCGTGCACCTCCTCCTCCTCCTCCTCCCCGCCCTCCTCATCGCCCTCCTCGTGGCCTGGCTCCTGGCCTAGCGCTTCGTCGCCGAGCTTCTCCAACACGGAATCTGTGGCGTCGTGTTTCTCGTATTCGTGTATGAGACGCAGCACGTCATTGTAGGACCATTTCAAACGTTTCTGCTCGCATTCTTCCCTCACCTCCGCGACTGCGGTGTCCACTTTTGCTCGCAGCCCCCCTGCTTCCCAGAGTTCCGCCGCCTCTCGGCAAATCTCGAGATCTCCTGACTTGTCGAAGGGCGCTCGAATTCCCACTTTCAGGAAACCTTTCGCGGCGTCCAAGTGCAACTGCACATCCTCCAACACTGACAGCATCAAGTCGGCGCAATCGGAACGCCGCAACTGCGGCACGTGCTTCCCCAACGCCATTTGCTGCACCAGCGCTTTGGTCTCGAGGGCAATGTACCGGCGCTTCACGTGCTGGTTCAAGTCCGTGTCCACGGGCTGCGCAACTGCGGTCGCCCCCCCGCCGTGAATGATCAGCACGTAGCCGCGCTGCCAGGCGAGTCTCCGCACAGCGTCTGCTTTGTGCGGGGAATGGTCGTCGGCCATGAGGATGCGCCACTTTCCCCGCAACTGCGGGTCGTCGGGCCAGGCCCGCAAGTGCCGCTGCAAGAATGATACAACGTCGTCTGCGCGGTAGGACCCCTTCTCGGACGTCGCCGTGCTCACCCAAGACGGATAGCCGCGACTGCGGGCATGTGCGGCCAAGCCCTCAGCGATGACAGATCCCCCCTTGAACATTAGCTCCGCCGGCGGTGGTCCGCAACTGCGGATGTCCTCCGCGTCGCTCGACACCGTCAGGTTCGCTGTCCACCGAGCCCTGCTGTCGTCATGCGCCTCGACAAGCGGGACAATGCCACCCTTCACAGCCAAGGTCGGCTTCGAGGCCGACGACGACTCGTTGTGGTGAAAGGGCGACTGGTCCCAGTTCAGGATGTGCGGGTCGTACCCCAGAAGCTCCTCTGCAGCTGCGCGGACCCTGGCCACGTTCAAGATCATAGTCTCAAAACGAGATTGGAGCAACCATTTTGGCACCTTGTACTTGCGGTTCGGCTTCTTCATGCTCAGGCCGTAGGAGCGCCGCCACTTCACCCACCACCGAGGCCGCAACTGCGGCACCATCGGTTTGCCTCCCCGCTTCATTGTCTCCACGCAGTAGTCCGCGACGAGTTGCTTCGCCTTCGTAACCAGCAGGGATTGGGAGAACCTGGCCAACATCTTGGGCCTCTCCTCCGCAACTGCGGTTCGCTTGGCCACCGCCTTCCAGTCCACGGAGTACCTCATGTGGGACCACCACTCGTACAGAGCGGCTTCCAGCCATGGAGCCTTGTTCGGGCGCCCTTGGTTGCCCCGCGCGCGGCGTCGGCCATGCACGCCCGCCGTGCCATGTCCACCTTGTGTGCGCCAGTTTTGAAACCACTTGGAGACGGCCTGGCGCTGCTGGACGACCCCCATGCCCTTCGGCCACGTGAACCGCCCGCAAAAAGACGCGATTGAATTCCGTGGCAGAACGCCCTCGCCCATCCAACCACAACTGCGTGCGTGCGCCTCCAGTTCTTTGCAAACCAGTTCGCGGTCTCT